GATCTACATCCGTTATTGATTCATTTTTCTACGTTTGATGTTATGCCGATCTCTCGGGTAAGATGCTGTTACGTTTCCTCCCTCGGTAGAAAGCCAGGTACCAATGGCTCAACCATTGGTGACACAAGCGAATTGATTGAGTTCGAGTATCAGTGGGCCTCAGCCAGAGCACAATACAAACTGCATCGCGGCTTTATTTCACTTGTTTTGTAGTCATTCAATGGAACGTAGGCGAAATCGAATTCGCTAGTATTGTTTACAGAAACAGATACACGAAAGGTGGCGTAGATTAGGTGCGATTAAGAACAGGATCCATTTTATTGCAGAAACGATCTTTTGCGCTCATGACAATCTATAGTCTGTTTGCAGTGAAAACATTACCGATGATTTTACTTTAAACAAAAAGTAAATCAAATAAAGTGTGAAATTAGATTACCAAGAATCCTCGGCCTGAGTTAACGCTCAATACATTACTGCACACGAGCATTTGTTTCCTTTTCAACTGCTGCGCTTACCTTGTAATACAAACCAATAATAGCGATTTGAAACTACTTGATCGTTTTGTTAAACAACTTTTATCCTAAGTTGAATGGCAATCTTAATTCACTTTATTTGATTTGATTTTCGGTTTAAGGTAGAAATTCATCAGTGACGTTTTCTGCCAAACAGACTATAGCTTTCCTTCCTATTACGACGGCTGTTTGTTTATACGAACCTTTCGGTGATATTTACGAGATAATATTCGACTAAAACAAGTATTGTTTGTGTATCTGTTGTTTAACGCCGCACTCCAACAATATTATAACAATATTTGTAGCGGCGGTCTTCTGTAGCATCAATCGTGTCTCTGTGGTCAGAGTGAATCGGTGGGTGGTTGTTTGGTTTGTTAGGTTGGTTTGTTGTTTGGTTGGTTTGGTGTTGGTTGGGTGGGTCTGAAAGTGAAGTGAATTAGTGAATTGTGGGTGAGTTAGTTGTTTGGGTTGTTAGGGTCTCTGGGTGGAAGGTGAGTGGGTGGGTGGATGGTTGGTTTGTTTGTTTGTTGGATTATTGTTTGGTGGGCGGGTTGGTGATTTGTTTAGGTAGGTGAGTGAGTGAGCGAGAGATCGCGCGCGATGCGTGGCTGGTTGGTTGGGTTGAGTGGTGAAGGTAATTGAAGGTGAGTTGGAGTGGGTGGTGGTGGCTGGGTGGCTGGGTGGATCGTTGTTTGGTTTGTTGTTTGATATGCTGGTTGTTTTGCTTGCTTGGTTTTGTGGGTTCCCTTGTTTGAGTTAGTGAGTGAGTTTTGGTTTTACGCTGCTGCAACAATATTCCAGCAATATCACGGCGAACGAGACACTTTCGATGGGCTTCACACACTGTACCCAAGGGTGAGTAGTGGGTGAATGAATAATTATGTATTGTCTGTGTTGGCATTCGTGGGTGAGTGAAATTGACGGAAGGTTAGTAAGTGATCGCAGCGCGTGAGTGGTTAGTTGGTCGGGTGGGTGAGTTTGTGAGTGAGTGAATTGATGACTCCGGACTCACCGGCGTGAAGTGGTTGGTTACTTGGGTGAGTGAGAGTGAGTGAGTGGAAATTGAAGCACGTACTCAAGTGCCGACAAAGTTAGTAATTGATTTACGTGTTCTGTGTCGTCTCGTCTTTCTCTCGCACACCTAGCTGTTCCCTACGTTTGTGCTCCTCCCTAGTAACAAATATGGTGCACTTTGCTTAAAATAGTTTAATGATAGTTTTGTTTAACAACTTCTTTATTTTTAGGACACAAAATTCTTACCAATAAACTCTGTAGTGATGTTTTGATAATGTTGAGTGTTTCATTAGGTATTATATGTTTATTAGTTTTCGAGTTAGACTGCTAATCATCCGGTCCGCTTTTTGAGCCAAAGGACTCTAACACATGATGTCGCAAAATATAAAAGATCCGCACATAAAATCTTCTTTGTCAAAAATTGTTAGATAATATACTTAAAGACATGTAAGGGACAGAACTAAATATTCACACCCAATCAACGTTATAGGCAGTTGATTATAGGTTACATCAAGCGACATTAACCGCTTTTAATCATATCTCTGCTCTGTACCAGGCGGGAATTATGCTTACAGGTGAAATCCGCAGGTATATATATGCACAGTGTTCGAGAATCTCTTATACTTATATACATATAAATGTATATCTATAAATCTGTATATGTATATATAATTATAACTTTGAAGTGGTTCTAAAATATATTTATATTCCATACAATACCTGTTCACCATGACTCTGGGCGGTGCGGTAGCCTAGTGGTTAAAGCGTTCGCTCGTCACGCCGAAGACCCGGGTTCGATTCCCCACATGGACACAATGTGTGAAGCCTATTTCTGGTAAAAGCGGCGTAAAACTAAACTCAGTCAGTCACCATGACTCAGAAGCTATTCTTACCAGTGACCACTTTCCTTTGTCTATAAGTAAGCTGGGGTAATGAAACAACAATGATGTTATATAATTGTAGCTTGGGTTGTTGACTTCCTCCAGCAAGTTAAAACACAAAGTGATCAGTGCCCAGGTCGGGAGCGAGAGGTTTAGCCATGTCGGCTAGTTAAACTGACTTTCTGAATATGCCATGTCGGCATGCAGTGGATTTCATTTCATGGATTTATGTGTTTTTATTCTGAGGAATGTGATGGAACAGGAACAATTGTTTATCAAATTAAGACTTTTAACCATATAAAATGATACGTGTTTTGCACATTTGTACATATGTATAACTGCCATTATTAAAACTATTTTAAATTGTTGTGTGATCTCTCCCTCGTAGTGAGTGAGTTTGGTTTTACACCGCGTTTAGCAATGTTATTCCAACAATATCACGTCGTGGGACACCAGAAATGAGCTTCACAATGTACCCCACAGTATGAGATTCGAACCCGGGTCTTCGGCGTGACGAGCGAACGCTTTAACCATTAGGCTACCCCTCGCCCCTCTCTCCCTCGTAACAACTGCTGAGTCTCACCCCTCATTCCATCCCTAAACTGAAACCCCAAATCTCGGCTACCATCATCATCTTACTCTTTACCACCTCGCAGACGTCGGTATGGTCTGCGGGTAAAGTCTCCACTTAAAATGACTGGCTCTAATAAACGTTTGTGGAAGACTAGAGAATGATTTTATGCAACTTGTAGCAATATTCCAGTATTATCACCCGCAGGAGGACCCAGAATGGTCTTCACACATCGTTACCATGTTATAGATGAGAGCCCGATGCCTTCAGCATGCTTTAACCTTGAGGCTACCCAACCGCCCCCGTTAACGTTGGTTCCGACCAAGATGAGCTTAAGCTTGGTTTGCCATGGTGCAGGGGCGGATACAGCTTTTGAGAAAGGGGCTGCACACAATTGAGAGAAGGAGGGTGCATTTCTTTTCACCCAGTGTCAATGGTCATTTCACAAACTTTCAGCTGGCAAAGGGGTGGGTGTGTACGCACCTGCACCCTCTGGATCCCTTATGATGTGTACGTATTGTCTGCGTAATTGCGTGATGCGTGTGTGTAGTAGTATTTCGCGTGGGTAGAGTCAATTCCATGTGTCAAGGGGCGGTCAGGTAGCCTGAGTGGTTAACAGGCGTTCGCTCGTCACGCCGAAGACGGAGTTCGATTCCCACATGGGTACAATGTATGAAGCCAATTTCTGGTGTTCCCCGTCTTGATATTTCTGGAATATTGCTAAAAGCGACGTTAAACCAAGCTCACTCACTCCTCCATGTGGTAAGAGCCGAAACATGAGTCTCATTAACCAATTCAGACGACTTAGTTTTCTGCGGATTCAGATTTTCTCGTGTGAAAGTGAAAAGAGACACTTCAAACAACTATGGTTACACTGAATTCCAATTTCTTTTGTTTCATAAGAAATGGTATTTACAAATTAATTTTAAAGGGCATTTCTATATTTTGTGACGAGGTTTAAGCAGCATGACCATAACTAAAGGTCTTCGGACAGCCCCAAGATAACATATTTAAACACTGTTGTGTCCAACTTTTATGTGTCGAACTAGTGTTTTTTTCGAAGTGAAAGCTTTGTCTCTTGGTATTCCTTATTATGTTATCCTTTTGTAGTTTTGTCGAACTAGTGGTTTTCTCAAAGTGAAAGCTTTGTCTCTGGGTATTCCTTTTTTATTTATCCTTTTGTGGTTGTGTCGAACTTCGGATAACTCGATATATTTTCGCAGGCCTCTTTTACTTCGACACATCAGTATTTGACTGTAAGCATGATACAGGCATGAATACGTGAGATATGTCTGTTCACAAGGTAATTGCAACTTCATTCCCAAGCGGGGTTATGGGGTAGCCTAGTGGTTAAGCGTTCGCTTGTTACTTCGAAGACCCGGGTTCGATTCCCCACATGGGTACAATTTCTGGTGTCCCCCGCCGTGATATTGCTGGAATATTGCTAACAGTGGTGTAAAACAATACTCACCCACTGACTCACAAGCTTTCCGAGCAGAACCAGTGGTGCTTGAAATCAGTTAGCGCGTGACAGTATGCTGACGCATGTGATAGTTGTGACGCGATGTGACGCGTGACGGAAGATCTAGACTGTTTGCGTAAAATACCTCGACGTCGAATATGACTGAAACCCATAACCGCAAGATCGATGTCGTCACGAACAAATTTACTTTGACATGACGAGGTGACTCTTAATCAAGCAGTCACGGAGACAATCAGCCTGCGTATATAACCCCACACCACGATCAATAACTGTCTATACGTCATCAGCCCTGTGAAGGTACGTACCCTATGAAGCATTAAAGATGCATGGACCGAGACAACATTACCATCCGCGAAACAGTTACCTCCCTTAGATAGATTCTTTACAGAACAACAAATCGAACGATCTTCAGGTTTTATTGCAATGTGGTTTCTTGACTTCAGCCTCACTTACCTCCCTTTGACTATAGGACATGCGATAATTATAAGTCGTTCATTGCTTATTCAGGTCCCAAACAATGCTGGCAGTCAAAACAGAGAAAGTCACGTGCAATCGCCTTAGCCTTTCCAGCGTTCGTGTCGCATGTTGTCTTAAGTCGGCCGTCGGTTATTTGTGGAGATCTTGCCCCTCTCAGGCGTTGGATAATATAGCAGGTCTGTGGATAGTATGCAGTAAAGGTAAGTCTGTTTACATACGGGGATATACTCATGGTGTGAAATGTGATGTATAGTTACTAGTAGACACCGTGTTGTTTTCGGTGGGGTAGCTCTTGTTGTTGTTTTGTATTATTGTCCAGCAATATGATCCATCCTGTCCATGCATTAAAGTGTATTCAACACATGCATTCAACACATTAAAGTGTTCCACTGCAGTTAACGTTTACCCTTAGTGCATTGAATATCATAATAATATACTGAGAGAAACAAATAAAGGACCAACGGAAAATTCAAGCGTTCCCTTAATATTTTGAATAGCTTAGTTGAGTTGAGTTGGGTTTTGCGTCACATCGGCATTATTCCAGCCATATAGTGACGAGAACAAGTTTGCATTAATAAACATTGTAAATACATACTCGAAATGATTTATATTTCAAAAACATATCAAATTTGAAGACAGGCAATTTGTTAGTCACATTTAACAGTTACAATTTTTTTTAAATATTTTGAATAGCGCTGTGGTGACGAATACTGGAAAATAATAAAGGAACGCTTGAATTTTCCTGCGATCCTTTATTTGTTTCTCTCAGTATAGTTTCATCATTATAAAAAATGCAAACAGCTTTCCACGTTATCTGTGAAAACCCCTGGTTTCAGTGAATATTTCAGCCTATTGTGATGATTATTATATGGTTGTTTTTATAACATATGTTATATGCCATACAGAAATAATGCGTGAATTCATTAAAATACTTAATCCGACCATAGGAACAAAGAGACAAGTTAAGATGAGAAAGCCACAATAACTCGGTGCGCCTAGTGGCTGCAAAGAGTTGTATACTCCCAGGAGTTGAGATTGATAATGCGATGTGCCGTTGAGATTGACATCCAATGATCGAGGGAAAAATACCAGCGCCTTGAGGCATGCACTAGTGCGTGGATATGTGCGCTATATAAATATCCTATAATAATAAAAATCTAAAAAATGTCCTATAATAATATATTTGCATACATTTAGATCTACATATGATAAGAATGATAATATTCATAAATTCTGGTTAACAGAAATTCCACGGTGTATTTGTGCCATGATTTGGGTATTTTTGTTGTTGTTGTTTTTCATCGGGTTGACAATGGCTTGAGTATTATTGAAACTGGGGCGGTGGGGTAGCCTAAGTGGTTAAAGCGTTCGCTCGTATCGCCGAAGACCCGGGTCCGATTCCCCACATGGGTACAATGTGTGAAGCCCATGTGTGGTGTCCCCGCCATGATATTGCTGGAATATGGCTAAAAGCGGCGTGAAAGTTACAGGTAGTAAATATGTGTTGTACATCTACTTCAAACCCGTGAGGATCAGGTTAGAATTGGTCTCCAGTAACCCATGCTTGTCTTAAGAGGTGACTAACGGGATCGGGTGGTGAGGCTCGCTGACTTGGTTGAAACATGTCATCGTATCCCAACTGCGTAGAGCCGATGCTCATGCTGTTGCTCACTGGATTGTCTGGTCCAGACTCGATTGTTACAGACCGCCGCCATATGGCTGTAAAACTGTTGATAGCGACGTTAAACAAGCAACAACAACAACACAAAACAAATAAAACAAAATATCTACTTCAAAGACTGGAACAGTGCACAGTTGTAGTCACTTGAAAGATTGAGGAAATCCTTTGCAATGTTTAAGATCAAACTTCTTATAGTGTCAGGTGAGCCCTAATCCCTTCATTATTCTTGAAAACACGTGCTGTTTTATGTAGATATAATCCCAACCTATAAGAGACCCGAGATGGAGGTCCTCAGTTAGACTAACGTTTAGTCCCTGAATATATATATAATTTTGATAGTAACAAATAAACCCATTTAAATTGAAAAGAGACCCCAGTGAGACCAGAGATTTAGGTGAACACGAAATCTAGACTTGCTTCATTTAGGGCTTTAGCATTTGCAGGGGAGGGCTAAGCATTGGGAAAATAATATGGTTCAGGGACTGTGAGACAGACTAGTCCTCAGTCTGCATGACGTTTATTAATGACGGCAGTTCCTCTGGAAATGCGTAGTTCCTTCACGGCGCTACACCCGGAAGCGACGTTAGCGCCATGATATATTATAGTGAAGTCACGACCTGGTATCTTTCACTTACACGTCGCCGTGTCGAGCGACGTTGTCACATCCTATTTCAGTCGTACATTAAACAAATGTGGTTTAATTGGACTGATTGCAAACAAAACATGTCTCAAGTGTTTGGGAATTTGATTTTGTTATCTTTTATTGTTATATTGAATATTTGCATTATATATATTATACATGGCTTAGGGTAAAATGATGATATGAGGGTGGTGATGGTGGGGTCGCTTTGATGGATGGCGGTGTTTAGTATTGGTAGGAGCGGTAAAAATGAAAAATGCTTACATTTAGTGACAATTTAATCTTACACCTTTTTATTATAACACACGTGGCGTTGGGGTAGCCTAGTGGTTAAAGCGTTCGCTCGTAACGCCGAGGTCCCGTGTTCGATTCCGCACATGGGTACAATGTGTGAAGCTCCGCCGTGGTATTGCTGGAATATTGCTAAAGGCGGCGTAAAACTCAACTCAGCAATGTCTCTTTTAAAATGATGTAAATGAATACACATTCATACGTTATGCTGTCATGTCAAATATCACTCACCAATCGATATATGGTCTTTGTGTTATTACGTAAGTCCCAAACACTTTCAAAGTCAATTTCGTACAACCATACTTTTTAATCGTAGTATTTCTGTTATTTTTAACTTTCGGCTAAAATTGTTCCTACATCGCCAGCGGCTGAGGGGATGGTGTAAATCCAGCTAGGGTCCATGCAGGTATGCAAAAAGTAATGTAAGTCCCCATGGTTCCTAGTATGGTGATCTATCTTCAGTTGTTGGCGATCAATAGCTGTTTTATATTGTATTGTCTTGTATAATTCAAATGTTTTTAGATTTAGTTACTAGTTTTATATTTATATCTGTGATAATCAAGTTGTTTTATTGTCTTTCGTTGGCAGGGTTTTATAATTTACCTTAAATTGTTGATATATTTATAACTTGCTTTAGTCACGATATGGCTGAAAATATTACCGATGTGACTTAAAATCTTAACTCACTCTCTCCTCACTTTGTGTTATTTACTTCGTTACCATTAGCGTCATATAAACGCATGACTTGAGATTGGCCAACGTCTGACTCGTTTGTAGTCCTCGTTTGCTTTATTGCCCATAACCTGGTGTCCCCGCCGTGATGTTGCTGGAATATTGCTAAAAGCGGCGTAAAACCAAACTCAGTCAGTCAGTCAGTTGTGCCCCATAACCAGCGCTGTTAAATGGGGCAAATTTGTAGTCTAGTGTTGGTACTACTGACAATATTAGCTCTACCAACGTGTTTGTTTAAACAGTAAGCAGACCCCGTACTAGATGATGGACGGTGACCCGTGCATGTAACATTAAAGGTAGTCATCAAAGCGCTATTTCCATTCGCTGCTTAAAATGTAAATGATACTTGTTTTATCGCAAAGTTACCAAACAGTAATGGTAGTAAAGGAAACTGGTTACTTGTCATGAAGGGATTTTATTGATATGAATTTATAATCAAAGTCACGTGACTTATGCGACTTCCAGCCTTTGGGTGTTAGTCGATGTGTTCGCTTTAGCCCTAAATCGGTTATAAGTAGACGTTCAAGCTGAGGGATTGGATATAGTGGCTTTTAAGGATGTGTGCGTGTGTGTGTGTGTGCTTGCGTGCGTGCGTGCGTGTTAGGGGATGTTGGTTGCTTAACTTCGCAGTAAGATTTTCAGCTGAATAAGGGCACTATGTAAATCTTCAAGCCTAGGTGACCGCCTCCGTGGTGTAGTGGTTAGAGCGTCCGCCCGGAGAGCGGAAGGTCGCGAGTTCGATCCCCGACCGCGTCATACCAAAAGACGTTAAAATATGGTACTTGTTGGTCTCTGTCTGGCGCTCGGCATTAATGGGTTCAACAAGGACTGGTCGACTCGAGTCAGTATAATGTGTCTGAGTGGGGTATTCATGCTTCACTGCGGCATGGTATCTCAGTGGGCTAGCACTATAAAACCAGCTTAAGAAGTCTGGACTAGTACAAGCAGCCGCACATACATACACACGCATGGACGTCGTCATATGAGCGAAATATTCTCAAGCACGACGTAAAACCCAGTTTCACTTCACCCCAAGCCTAGCTAGTGGTTAACATCATGAGCACTGAATTATGTAGATGACATTCAGCCAACGAGGTCACGTATTGGGCCATTCGATCCTCGAGTTTGGTAACCTGACCTCAAGCTGCGGCCTGGGAGCTGTTCAGCCCGACAGCTCCGTATGAATGTCCCCAGACATGACGACTTGGTGTACATAATAATATACAATGGGAGTAGAGTGAGTTTAGTTTCACTCCGCACTGAGCAATATTCCAGCTATATGGTGGCGGTCTGCAGATAATCGAGTCTTGACCAGACAATCCAGTGATCAACAGCATGAGCATCGATCTGCGCAATTGGGAACCGATGACATGTGTCAACCAAGTCAGCGAGCCTCACCACCCGATCCCGTTAGTCGCCTCTTACGACAAGCACGGGTTGCTGAAGGTTCATTCTAACCCGGACCTTCAAGGGTGTATATATACAATGTGTGATGCTTTTAGCAGAGATTTCTTGTGGGCTGCTTACGGAAAGATTTTATCGCTTTTAATTATTTTAAATCAATATTACCGTACTTGTGTGTGAACGTTTCCTGTATGCAAGGGGCGCTGGGGTAGCCTAGTGGGTAAAACGTTCGCTCGTCACGAATTCGGGTTCGATTCCCAACATGGGTACAATGTGTGAAGCCCAATTCTGGTGTCCCCGCCGTGACTTTGCTAAAAGCGACGTAAAACCATGTTCGCTCACCGATAACCAGGACGAACAATGATTCGATCAAAGTTTTTCAAAATATCTGAAACTATAGTGACTCTTCGGGGCGGTGGGGTATTCTAATGGTTAACGCGTCCGCTCGTCAC